ATTCATTGTTAACGGCGTAATCTCTCTTTCATGTTGAGAATTACTTTCCATTTGATGCTTCTCTTCTTTTAGAGGACTTTAACATCACCATGGACAAATGGACTAAAGAATGGCAAAGCTTCATAAAATTGGCTAAAAACTTGGATCAGCACACATAAAGAAAATGGCTTAAATTGCTTAGACTTTGCCGGACGTTATGCCAAGTTTCTTGTGTCAAAAGTTGTCGCATGCTAATTCATGGCATTTTGATGATTCTTGAAGCATTGCAACCTTCCTCTTTGAGTTCATTCCATGACAAGAGGGAGGGGTGGTCATATTCATTACATTTCATTGATTTTTGTCTAAAATTGTATCCGAGACCATCAAGCAATTAACATGTTCATTGATGGCTTTGGAATCAATTTCAACCTTTTCTCGAGGCTTTCCCATGACCGAGAAGGAAGAAAGGAACAAACAGAGCTTGAGGACGCTTTATCTGCACTGGTTCACCTTAGAACACAAAAACAGAGTTGTACACCAAATTGAGGCACGACCAGTCATCTGTAGACCCGGCCGACGCTGAGTGTGAGACCAGCAGTGCAGTTTTGTAGAAAACATAGGCAGTGGCTGAAGGTGAAACAGAGTTGGCTTGGACAAACAGAGTAGCTCTCAGGCGCTATGCGTGCAACCTTCATCAACCTTCAATTACGCCTTTATCGAATGCGAATAATTGTTTCATTAGTGTTATAATTATCATAGTTGTAATTTAATCTTATTGTAATTAGTATTGTTGTAGCCATTGCTTATTGTTAATTGGTATAACTAGCTAATTTGTTGTAATAAAGTAGTTAATTAGCTTAGCCTAGTTAATTTGCCCAATTTTGTAATAGTTAGTTTAATTCGGACTTTCGGGCATTGATTTGCACCCTCTTGCGTAAGGGATCAAAAAGTTGTAATAATGTGTATGTCTTCCAACCCCACATCTTTCTTCATTTTATTTACTAGGTTATGATGGTTAGTTTAGGGACATCATGTTTTAATTAGCATAACTCATGTTTGCATCCATCTGTATTGCATGCATCGAGGCTCGGTTCATCATTCTACTTGCTTTGTTAGTTTAAATACTTCTTTGAATACGTGCTTAGACCGCATGCTATTTCATTGATTCATATACCATGCTTATTAGCCGAGCCTAGTAATTGCATATCGCATGTGTTGCATTAGTCATAATTGCATAGTTAGAATCATGCATTTTTCTAACGTTGTTTCTTTTTGGCTTGGAGTACTAGGTAAGCTTTTATTTGCTTTAGCATAATTGCATGTGTTTGATTGTTGCCATGTTTAGCATGCTTGCCATGAGGCTAAGTGCTTAACTGATAAACTGCTTGAATGCCTGTGGATGAAGGCTTATAGCTTGAATTGGAATAATTTGAGAAATGTTCATGTATGATCACTTTTTTGAGTGGTACATTTTTCGAAACAATTTTCAAAATAAACATGACTCGAGATGTTCCAATTTTTGCAAGTTAGTCTATACTTGTGTGTGTGCATCACATAGTAATGCTAGTCTAATAAATCGGAACAAGAGTATATAATGTAAATAAAAATCATATCATGATTGGTAGAAGCCAATCTTTGATCGGGCAAGCAAGGGTGCTGAAATGTATTCATGACCTTTCTCTCTTGTACCTAAGTTCTCGAGCCGAGACAATCTTGGTGATGACGGACACGTGGCTTTTGGTACGAGTCATGGGATTCCTAAATTGCCCTAAAACAAAATATTTAGGTGGCGACTTTGTATCTGGAAAAGCAGTCCATTTTTTTGGCAATTGGATTCAAAATCAATTTTCCAAATGATTTGCCGGATTTGGACTCTTTGGTGTGTATCAATTCCACATTGCACTTGTGAGATTAGATTTAGAACCGCGGGAGTCTGAACTGTAGGGCTTATTCTGAGCTTCCGAAAGGGGGCGCTACAAATAGAATATAATTTTTTTTTGCTAGTACAACCAAACAGGAGAAGGGTTTAAGATATGGGAAAACTCCTCCCTTTCATGCTATGATTTCTAACTTAATATAATTATAAAAAAAAAAAAGGTGTATTGCAAGCATTTTTAACTTCAATAATACTCTAACGACAGCCTTTATCTATTGGACTTTTTGAGATTTTTGAGCGGATTGGGGAAGTGGCATACCGTTTGGCCTTACCGCCACCGCTTTCTGGGGTTCACAACATGTTTCATATATCTATGTTTAGGAAGTACGAACTCGACGCTTCACATGTACTTGATTGGGTCGAGTTGGAAGTAGATAAGGATGCCTTATACAAAGAACAGCCGGTTCAAATTGTAGATGTCCAAGAACAAGTGTTGAGAGGCAAGACTATACCGTTAGTGAAGGTGTTGTAGAGACACTATGATGTTGAGGAAGTAACTTGGGAATGGAAGGCGGAAGTGATGAGAACTGTTGTAGGATTGTCACAATTATGGTTGGACTTCATGCTTATGATTATCGTATTTGTGGTTGTTGGTATTGTGGCTTTGGCCCATGGAAATTTTGATGATGGTAGTAGAATGTTGTTGAGATTTAGATCTTTATGCTATTATTGAATTGTTATTATTATGGATTCTTTATTGTCGTTAGTGTGGTTGTTATCACTCGGAGCCCTTTTATTGTTGAATTGTCTTTGTTCATTGGAGGTTGTTAGTAAGAGGTGTGACCAAATTTCGAGGCAAAATTTCCTAAGGGAGGCAGGTTGTGATGTCTCAGGTCTTGGACTTGACCGATATTGCATAGTAAGATAGTTTGTTTTACTTTCGGCGTTTTGATTATCATATTGGATCATTGAGATTTCTTTTCGGCTCTTACTTAACCTTTATTAACATTTTTGAGTTAAAATTTTGAGTTTTGGGTGTTAGAACTTGTATTGAGGTGCGGAATCAATTTTGGGTCTGATTGGCAAAACCGCTCGCGCAGATTTGGCAACCGCTCAAGCGGAATCACACAGGGTTTTTTGGGAAATTCTGGGTAGAAACTGCTCGTGCGGATTTTGTGGTAAATCTGGGTTCTTCTCTGGACTAAACCACCAGTGAGAGGCATCAGAATCCACTTGTGCAGATTTGGGATTCTGCTCGTGCGAAATTTGAAACGTTTATGTGGATTTCGGTCGTGCGTATCTTGAATTTTGAGCTCTTTTCCTCAAAACTAATGCCAAAAACGTGTTTTGTACACTTTTTCACTTCTCTCTCTCTCTCTCTCTCTCTCTCTCTCTCTCTTCATCTTCTCTCCTCATTCTCTCTACAAACCCACCCAAATCTAAACTTTTGTCTAAGATTTAGTAAAAACCTTCAAGAATTTGATAGGACTTTTTATACCAAATTGAAGAGGGTGACAAGGGCTACATTTACACCGATCGAATCAAGTTTTCATCAAAATTGAATTTTAGGGTTTTCATCTCCGTCCTCTCCCAAGCTTGAGGTAGGGACATTCTTATAGTTATATATATGTTTTTGCAAGTTTATACTCATTTGGAGTATTTTCTTTCATGTTTGGACTATGGTTTTGGGTTTATAAATTCTAGATAATTTTAAAAGTGGGTTTTCTCTATATTTTCTCCAAACTTTTGAGCGTATGAGTTATGTCCTAAAGTGTGAGTGTTATTTTGGAAAAATCCTTCAAAAATGGGACAAAAGCCTAGTTTTGGTGGAAACCCTAGAAATTTGGGGATTTTGGGGAAAGATGCTGAGATATTGTGGAATTCATGCTTGATAAGTTGTTATGTGAATAAATGATGGAGGAATTTCTATAGTTGTATCAAATGAGGGTTTTCATGAAGAAATGAGAAATGTTGATTTTGAAACTGGATAAATAACTTGTTGTTAGGTTGTCTTGGAGAGACCAAATTTAAAAATGATAATTAACATGTGGAGAATACATGTATGATTTGATTGTTATATTATCTCTTGGAAAATATATTATGATATTATATTGATAAGAGATGTGGAAATTTGATTACAATGGAAGATTGTATGATGGAATTGAAAATAAAACTATATTAATGCCTTATTACATATTGCATTGCCATTCCATTTAATCTTTGTTGTCATTGATTTTGAATTTTGCATTTAAAAATTTTTACTTTGAGAAAAGAATTGTTTTGTGAAACAAAATTATCTTGAATTATTTTGGGGTAAATACACTGGTAAGTCCAGATAAGGGGTGTAGTTTTGTATTGATTAAGTTAGCCTGAGTGTCCATGGTAAATGACCAAAAACATGCGCAGAGAAGGTACCACATGCCTTCCGATTAGCAAGTAATAAAGTGGCGATTGATAGTGCTTGATATGCCTACTTGCAGACACCAACATAGAGATTACCTGAGTCATATTTACCACCTCTTGAACTACATTAAAATTATTGAATTGTTGTGTTTTCAAATCGCATCATGCACAAGATTTTCAAAAGATAGAGATATATGTTTTGAGTATAACATGGCATATGCATTCATCTCAGGAGACTATATAAAATATATATACTTTGTTAAGATCTTTCTACTGGGCATTGTGCTCATCCTAGTGGATTTTGATGTAGTGATTCCGCCGAGTTAAAGACGTGGAGTGTATTTTGAGGGCGCAAGGCTCTTTTATTTTGTTATGATTATTTTTGACAAGTCAAGGGCATTACATGTATGGGTTTGATAACCATTTTGTGTAACCGGGGCATAAGCCTTGGAATTTGTAACCCTTGGGGCCATTAAATTGTATTTGACTTGTTGTGCCACATGCTAGAGATTCATATTCTAGAAATGTCGAATGCATAATTGTATGTGAAATACTTTTGTAAATCGCTTGAGTATAATGAATACAAATGTTAGAGATTTGATGATGATGTTAATAATGAGGTATTATATCCCATATACATTTATGAAATGAAAGCTATTAATTTGAATATGTGGAATTTTCTTATGCTCTTTTCTTTGGGATGTTACAATTTATTTAAAATTCAATGCAAAGTATAATAACATGTGCAAAGATGAAATTAATTAACATATTTTTTCTAGCTTTGGATATTACATTATTTTTTGTTACTCTTTTCTAGTATGTGATATTACATTGATACTCTTAGTGTCACAAAAAGAAAATGCTCAATTTTCATGAGATGACACTTATTTCAACATTATTTTCTAATGCGTGATATTACATTGATACTCTTAGCATCACAAAAGGAAAATGCTCAATTTCCATGAGATGACATTTATTTCAAGATTATTATAGAGATAATTTATTCTTAATAGCTTCAAAGTATTCCTCCATATCTTCAAACCCTGAAATGCAAAGGAAGAAAGAAAAGTGAAAAGAAGAAAAAATGTTCATTAGTGACAGTAGAGCATACTTCAATAAATTTCACATTGGTATTAAAATCAAAGTAGGAATGGATTTTTATGCATTACTGATTGTAATCGATGTTGATTTTCCCGGCTGCAGTGTCAGCAATGGCGGAAAAAGCTTCTTGAGAGAGATCAATGGTGGCTTGGCATCCTGGTGAGGGGCATCGGTCTACGATTTTCACAGTCACACTACCACTCTTGCAAGGTTGTGGCACACCTTGGTTTGTTGCTCCTGTGCAACTAACACTGTACATTTTTCCACATGCAGCTCCATTGTTCCATAGGGCATCACTTGCTGCAGCTATCATCACCCCTTGATCTTGATAGCCATAGCATGCAGAGGCTACCAAGCAAGAAAATTCAATATAAGACATGTTTCAATGGTAAAAAAAGTTGCAATAATGCTTGAAACCACTAAAAGTAGTGCTCTAAAAGCACCATTAGTGATGTGGCAGTAGACGGGGCCCACTGCTTGTGTCTTTCTTCGTTTTTTTTTTAAAGTGTTTACCAACTCATTAGTGGTGCTTTAGAGCACCACTTTTAGTGGGATGTATCATTATCGAAAAAGTTGTGTACCTAAGATTATAAAATACTTAAAAAAATGTGAACAAAATTTAATATATGGATTTGAAGTCGGTATGATATAAGTCACATCATGATCAATGAATACAAATGTTAGAGATTTGATGATGATGTTAATAATGAGGTATTATATCCCATATACATTTATGAAATGAAAGCTATTAATTTGCACCAAGATCTTGTTGTTAGAATATGTGGAATTTTCTTATGCTCTTTTCTTTGGGATGTTGCAATTTATTTAAAATTCAATGCAAAGTATAATAACATGTGCAAAGATGAAATTAATTAACATATTTTTTCTAGCATTGGATATTACATTATTTTTTGTTACTCTTTTCTAGTATGTGATATTACATTGATACTCTTATTGTCACAAAAAGAAAATGCTCAATTTTCATGAGATGACACTTATTTCAACATTATTTTCTAATGCGTGATATTACATTGATACTCTTAGCATCACAAAAGGAAAATGCTCAATTTCCATGAGATGACATTTATTTCAAGATTATTATAGAGATAATTTATTCTTAATAGCTTCAAAGTATTCCTCCATATCTTCAAACCCTGAAATGCAAAGGAAGAAAGAAAAGTGAAAAGAAGAAAAAATGTTCATTAGTGACAGCAGAGCATACTTCAATAAATTTCACATTGGTATTAAAATCAAAGTAGGAATGGATGTTTTATGCATTACTGATTGTAATCGATGTTGATTTTCCCGGCTGCAGTGTCAGCAATGGCGGAAAAAGCTTCTTGAGAGAGATCAATGGTGGCTTGGCATCCTGGTGAGGGGCATCGGTCTACAATTTTCACAGTCACACTACCACTCTTGCAAGGTTGTGGCACACCTTGGTTTGTTGCTCCTGTGCAACTAACACTGTACATTTTTCCACATGCAGCTCCATTGTTCCATAGGGCATCACTTGCTGCAGCTATCATCACCCCTTGATCTTGATAGCCATAGCATGCAGAGGCTACCAAGCAAGAAAATTCAATATAAGACATGTTTCAATGGTAAAAAAAGTTGCAATAATGCTTGAAACCACTAAAAGTAGTGCTCTAAAAGCACCATTAGTGATGTGGCAGTAGACGGGGCCCACTGCTTGTGTCTTTCTTCGTTTTTTTTTTAAAGTGTTTACCAACTCATTAGTGGTGCTTTAGAGCACCACTTTTAGTGGGATGTATCATTATCGAAAAAGTTGTGTACCTAAGATTATAAAATACTTAAAAAAATGTGAACAAAATTTAATATATGGATTTGAAGTCGGTATGATATAAGTCACATCATGATCAATCTTGTCCACATAATTGAAATTTTAAGTAAGTTTTTAGATAATTTTTTAGGTAGGTAAAATTATTGTTTTGTTGTAAATATAATTCTTATTTTATGGTAAAATAAGTTTTATCCTATAGTCTAATAATATTAACAAAAGTTTTAGGGGTAAGACAATATGAACCCACATCTTTTAGATTGCAATAGACATGAGATGTTCCCTAGCAAATGTAGTTAACAATTTCACATTTATCAGAAGTATCACAGAAATAAATAATAGAATATAATTTATTTTATTTTTTTTGGCTAGTACAACCAAACAGGAGAAGGGTTTAAGATATGGCAAAACTCCTCCCCTCCATGCTATGATTTCTGACTTAAAATAATTATTAAAAAAAAAAGGTGTATTGGAACATTTTTAATTTTAGGTAAATTATATAATGGTCCCTATAGTTTACACGATGTGTCAATTTGATCACTGTTGTTTTAATTTGCTCGATTTTGCCCCTAAATTTAACAATTTGTGTCATATTAGTCCAATAAATAACAGCCGTTAGGTTTGATGGACGAAAACTCAAACGATATGTCAATTTAGTCTTTGTAGTTTACACGATGTATCAATTTAGTCCATGTCAAAATCGAGCAAATTAAAACAATAGGAACTAAATTAACACATCGTGTAAACTACAAAGTCCAAATTGACAAATCGTTTGAGTTTCCGTCTACCAAACCTAACGGCTGTTATTTGTTAGACCAATATGACACAATCCATTAAATTAAAGGCCAAAATCAATCAAATTAAAATAATAAGAGATTAAATTGACACATTGTGTAAATTATAAAGACCATTTGTATAATTTACTCTTTAATCTTCAATAATACTCTAACGATAGCCTTTATCTATGGTTCACCTTAAATTCGTTTGTTTTAATCTCGAACTTTAATCAAAAGACCAGATTGAAATTAAATTTGAAGTGTAGAGAAAAAATTGTTCAATTTGAAACAAAACGAATCAAAATAAAATTTGAGTCAAATTATAAAAGTTAAAAATATATTTGTCCTGAGTGAAATATAATATGAAATGGACATGAGAGAGAGAGAGAGAGAGAGAGAGAGAGAGAGAGAGTACTCACGAACATAGACATTGTAGTAAGTAGCAGTTCCTGCAATAGCAGAAGCAACAGAGATAAGGGAAGCAGCAATGCATACCATCATAATAGCCCTCATTTTGATTTTGTTTGTAATACAGTGACAAACAAACACTCTCCAAAGATTTACTGTATTATTATATGGTGTTGAAACTTAGTGTTATTGCACAAAATTGTATTGTGTTATGCACTAAATTTGTGTTGAATTGGTGCCCTATTTATAGGACCAATGAAAGTCACCCTTCTCCAACAGCAAGCGGTCTATACACGTTCTCTATGTCCAAAATTTGATCTCTCTCTCGGAAATTTCCATCTTCTAGATGTCAAGAAATTGACTTGTAAATTTTTTCATTTTTCATATTCTAATTCCCCTTAACGTGAATTAATCAATTTAAATATTATCCTTTTGTTTCGGAATGATGTTTTCTTACATCAAACTTTAGGTCCTTTTTTTAAATATTTGTTTATGGATGAATCATATTGTGAAGTTCAATGAATTACAATTATACTTGTCCGGCTATCACGACCTTATCTTCTCCATCATGAAGTTCAAAATTTTAAGATCTAGTTTCAAATCTTTTCATAGTTCGAAGGGCGATATTGGATAATACGTTTGTTTTAAGTTAGATAACCACCTCAACCTCAATGTTCTATTTGACTAGCAGAAGTAGGATTTTCAAATTCCAAGTTGAAGGTTGCAAAACAATAGAGTTTTGGATAAGTTTGGTGGCGACTTGAATCTGATTCTTTTGTTTTGATTTTTTAATTTTTAATTTAGTGGCATAATAATTCTTCCTATGTGAAGGTTTATTTCCCTCCCTTGTGAGAACCTTTTCTCCTCTATGAAGGCTTAAATCCTTCCTTTTATGAAAATTGTTTCTCTTTTTGAAGATATTATGATACCGCTTCATCCAATCTTTTATCGGTTTTGCAAAAAAGATTTTCTTCCCGATCTTAAAAAAAAAATTGAAAATCAAATACAAAGAAATTCTAAATAAATACACAAGTAATAAAACTCACATGTACGAAAGTAAACGGGTAAATTTTGCACTCACTTTTTTTAAAATTTGAAAAAAAAAATACAATTAGATCCACAATTTTGACATAATCACATTGACTCCCTTTTTAAAATTCATGCAAATGGTGATAGATACTGAAATAAACAAATTTAAAAATACATTTTAGTAGAAAAGATATAAAAATATCATCTTTTCATTTATAAACTTACAAATTATTGATAAAAAATTACCTAAGTGTTCCGCAAATTGAAATTTCGAGAGAAAGAGAGGTATAATTATGTTAAAAGTGTGAGACTAACTGTATTTTCTTCAAATTTTGAAGAGGAGGTAAGTGTAATCTCTCTTGATTTGATAAATATTTGATGAAATGATTGCAGGTGATTTTTAAGAATATTTTCATCAAATTTAAGTTAAAAAAAGGAAAAAAAAGAAGAAGTAAAGGATTAAAAATGCTCGTACCGTGAATAACTGAAATATTATCCGTTTGTTTCGAAATGAAATTTTCTAACATCAAACTCTTGGTCTTTTTTTTGACTAAACTACCAATAATTTTAAAATATAATTTTGTGAACGGTTTAGTCTTTCTTTTTCTTTATAAACTCAAAGGCCCCATTAAGATGGAAATTACACAATCTAAAAACCTCTTTCTAAAAACCTCTCTCTCTCTCTAAAAACCTCCTTCCCCGACCTTTATTTGGGTCGGCCGGCTACCGCCTTTGGCTATGGCGGTCTGCTGGACTAGCTCGTTTCGGCGTTTGCTTGTTAGTTTTTTCTTTCAATAAACTTGAGTCCCCCATTTTCCCCACCTAGGTGTGTTCTTTGTTCCTGTGGGGGAGTTTTTTGTGGTGAGTCGTGGGTCGTCCAGGTATTTTTTATAGGGCCGCAAAGGTTTGTCTTCAGTAGTCTTCTTGTGATTCAACCTTGCCCGTTATAGCTGATTCATCAGGGTCGTCCAGGATTTTCATTTAGCGCTTTTTGTGAGTAGGAGCTTGAAGGGTGTACTCTGGTTCAGATTGGTGGAGATTTGGGTGCCATTGGCGATCCATTTCTGTCTGGTTGTCACTCGAGCGCTCCTCTTCGTGTGAGAGTTTGAGGAGTGATCTTCTTCCATATGTATGGAGGTGTCCCCGCGTGTGGTCGGTGTTCGGTGAGTGTATGGATCCGCGGTGTGAGATAGAAGAAGACCTGGTGGGAGATAATCTGTGGGTGTCTTCGGCAGTGGGTGTTGTTCTGTGGAGGTTGGCAGCAGCATAGGCGTGGGTATTGGGTGTGAGCAAGAAGAAGACCCGGTGGGAGATGATCTGTGGGTGTCTTCGGCAGTGGGTGTTGTTCTGTCGGCAGTGGGTGTCTTCGGCAGTTGCTGATGTTCCCGGTGAGTCTTCTTGGCAGAGGCGTGTCTTGTTGGTGGCGTGGGCAGCAGCTTAGGAGTTGCCGCAGCTTAGAGGTGGCGTAGGCAGCAGCTAGGAGTAGGTGGTTGTAGCAGAAGAGGCGTGCCTTGTTCATGAAGTAGAGGTGTGAGGGTTTTGGGAGTTGTAGCTGCAGAGGAGTGGGCCTGGCAGAGGCATTGGTGTTGTTCCCGATGTTGGTTTAGTTATTTTAGTTTAATTTGGGTGTTGGTTTAGTTCATGTAGTTTGATTTGGGTGTTTTGGTGGGTTGATTATGTGGGGATTTATGTATTTTAATTTTCTAGTTAAGTTCTCCTTAACTTTTTTGTTTAAAAATTCGAGAGGCTTAGGGGTTGGTTGTATGGATGCGAGTAGCAGTAGTAGAGGTATTTTTATACTTCTGAATCTCTCTCGATGCATGTCATCTTCCTGTACCTTTAATTTCATGCTGTTAAATGAAATTTTTCTTTGCTGATAAAAAAAAAAGATGGAAATTACACAAAAGGAACCTGTTTGGGTTTAATTTTTGAAAGATAAAAATGAATTTCTCCAAATGTGAAATTACACATTTGGACAATCCGCACTTTAGAGATTTTGGATTTTTCTTCCTTTTGGAACAAATCTCACATTACAAATAAGAACATAACACTTTAATGTAACACACTAAAAAATTATTTAGTGTACTTTTCCCAAAAGTAATAACGTAACACTCTTAAAAAAACTATTTAGTATACTTTTTCTAAACGTAACACCAATGTAACATACTCCAATGTAACATACAAAAAAAATACATTAGTGTACTTTTTCCAAACGACAATCTAATTAATGTAATCATAAACGTAATACTCCAATAATTGTAATTCCAAACGTAACACTTTAATTTAACACACAAAAATACTAAAAAATTTCTTAGTGTACTTTTCCTAAACGTAACACCTAGAATTTGAAATTATACATATAAAATTTACTAAGGAATTTTTGTACTACTTTTGGAATAGTTTGAAGAATCCCCACATCCTTTTTTTTTTTTTTTTTTTTAAAGAAAAAATAACTAGTTATTATTATTATTTTTTGCATTTTGGATGGATGAAGATAACTAGTTATTATTTTTATTTTTACATTTTGGATGAAAGTAAAATTTATTATATGGGCACTTATATACATTATCATGATCTAATGATATTTAAATTAGTGTTACTAAGAAACTGTTAAATGAGGAACATGGAAGTACGACAATAGGGGAAGAAATAACCAGTAATACGATAAACCAAGACTATAGGTTCTATCGCAGGATTATGAACTTTGAAGTAGAGATTGCACTTAAGAAAATGAATCAAATAAAGCTTTAGGATCTGATGATATCCCTATTGAAGCTTGGAAGTGTTTGGGTAAAAAGGGAGTTGCTTGGTTGACTAGGTTGTTTAGCAAAATTTTGTTGACTAGAAACATGCCAGATGAGTGGAGGAAGAGTATTTTAGTGCCAATTTATAAGAATAAAGGTGATGTTCAGAATTGTAACAACTATAGAGGAATCAAGCTAATGTGTCATATAATGAAAGTGTGGGAGAGGGTGATGGAACGCCGATTGCGAGACATAACAGAGGTGTCAGAGAATCAATTTAGGTTTATGCCTGGTAGGTCAACAATGGAAGCGATCTCTCTTTTGAGGAGAGTAATAGAAAAGTATAAAGAAAAGAAAAGAGACATTCATATAGTGTTTATCGACCTTGAGAAAGCATATGACAGAGCCCCGAGATATAATATGGTGGGTGTTAGAGAAGAAATGGGTGACAAAAGACTACATTGACGTGATTAGGGACATGTATGAAGGAGTGGTGACCACTATTAGATCGCCAGCCGGAGAGATAAATGAATTTCCTATCAATGTAGGGTTACACCAAGGATCTACCTTAAGTCCTTATCTTTTTGCTTTAGTTATGGACGAGTTGACGATAAATATTCAGGATGACGTGCCATGGTGTATGCTTTTTGCAGACGATATTGTGTTAGTGGATGAGACTAGAGAAGGAGTTAACACAAAGTTGGAGATTTGAAGAAAAACTATTGAATCTAAAGGATTTCGGATAAGCAGAACTAAGACAGAGTACATGGAGTGTAAATTTAGTAACAGTAACAATGAAAGCAGAGGAGAAGTGAAGATTGAGAACCAAGAACTGCCTAAGAGTGAACATTTTCGTTATTTAGGGTCGATTATCACAACAGCGGGAGAGATTGATGCAGATGTGGCCCATAGGATTAAGGCGAGATGGTGTAAGTGGAGAAGTGAGTCTGGGGTATTGTGCGATAAACGAATACCCACTAGATTAAAAAGTAAGTTTTATAAAACGGCTATTAGACCAGCTATGTTGTATGGGACGGAGTGTTGGGTAACCAAGAAACAACATGTAGATAAAATGAGTGTGGCTGAGATGAGGATGCCAAGATGGATATGTGATAAGACTAGACAGGACAGGATTAGGAATGAGTGTATTCAGGAATGGGTAGGAGTAGAACTGATAGAAGATAAGTTGAGAGAGAATCGTTTGAGATGGTTTGGTCATATTCAACGGAGACCAATAGAGGCAATAGTGAAGAGATGCGATGCTGTAACGGTAGATGGAAGTGTTAGGGGACGGGGTAGGCCTAGATTAACGTTAATTAGCGTTATAAATAGAGATATAAATCTACTTAATTTGACTAATGAAATGGCCTTTGATAGGGCCGCGTGGAGAAGAAGGATTTATGTAACCGACCCCATTTGATGGGACTTAAGGCTTGGTTTGGTTTGGTTTGAGTTA